TACTTATTATAATTTCCTCTATGGTGAGTCTTAAAGGAAACCTTATTTTAGAATTACTTGATATTCGCAATATTCTACCTGCATTTTCATTTTTAGGACTTATTTTAGAATTATTTTTCATATTAAATTATCTCAATATTCAGTCAGTATTTGATCTTAATTCTTAATTTTAACCAGTGATATATTAATTATATAATTTACTCAATTGCAAATGGAGTATATGATAACAAAACAAATATTAAATAATATAATAAAGATTAAGATGTGAAAGATTAAATGAAAGATTAAATGAAGCGATACATTTTTATTCTCATAATCTCTTCCTTTTTATCTTTAGCGTCGGAAATCTCCACGAGATTTAAAGTTCTTAAAAAAACTGATAAAGGAGAAGCTCTCAAGACAAAGAAAACAGTTATATGTCTAATAATGCCGTGTGTAGTTATCAAAAGAGACTTAAATTTGAATGATAGTACAATGATAAGGTAAGGAATAAAAATAAGAAGAGAGTAGGCAGATGTAAATAAAATCACATTCCAGGTCCAAGAAGTATTATTAAACATAAAAATTACCACTTGCAAGATTTATATTAGATTATAAAGCCGGTATTCATAGTTGTAAATTATTTAGTATTTTTGATCGAGAACATAAGTGATTACAAATTAGCGTTCCCGTTATTCCTGTTATTCAGCAGGTTTGCATTAATGTTTCTTATATGAAATAATGTAACAAATACATGCATATCATTTGACGAATAAAGAAATTAATGAAGTTATAACTATTTGTCAAAATATGATGGATTATGAATGCCGACCTAACTTTCGACTCAGACATTTCTCGATAAACACAATAACATTCCGTTAAAAACGGAAACCTCTCGTATAATAAATAACTTGACACACCTTGGGATATATGATATGCCCGTATCCCGGCGTCCTTCTTGACTTCTCGACTTAACCTCCTGCCTGGCATCCATCACTGACACCGAAACTCGCGCAGATTCGATCGGATTCAATTAACACACATGTTTCAACTAACGCAATACCAACGAGAGAGTCCGATTAAATATTTCAACAGCCGATGAAATAGTTTGACCACCCGACGCGAAGTGTAAACAACACATTGATACATGTACTTTGTGTCACAATGTGCGCGTCGCTCGTTGGCTCGAGACGTTACAAACACGTGTCCGCATTCCGTGATAAAACAATCGACACCTTGGAAAGAGGCAAAGTCACATTTCGCTGATTGTAAACCGTCGTCGTTCATCATACAAAAACTAAGTACATTCGATGGTCTCGAGAAATCAATGCAATGGAATATTCCAGACTGTCGAGATGGTCAAATTATCACAAGGCGATTGAACGCCCGGTATATATCGAAAGTGTCGTTTGTAACGACATTCGACGATCGCCATTGATTAACGTGCGATAATTAATTAACGCCGCGTATTTCCGATCGGCTCGTACTTTCGTGTGAAATAATTAAGCGCCAGACCACGATAACGACCAAGAGCTGATTTCAGAACGGGACACGAGACGCAGCGATAGTCGGTGATGAGGCTTATAACTATCTCTCTTTTTTTTCTCATTTCTCTTGAACCTTTTAATCCTATCGAGATTTCTAATGCCAATAAAAAATAATGAAGAGATTGTACCAAAAAAGAAAGATTGCTGTTTTATTTATCTGCTTCCCTATTATTTTTTATTAGATTATTTAATGTCGCATGTATTTTATTTTCAGTTGAGTAGGTGTATAATATATTGCTTGTTGAAATTAAGAACGAAGATTAAGCACAGGTACACTATATTGTGATCAATCATTAAATAATTCTTATATAATCTTTATATTAGAGTCTTTCTTTAACATGTTCGCTATTATGATTTATTTAGGGAATTCTTCTCACAAATCACAGTATATTTGTAGGATTATATAAAGCAAACTTAGTTTATTTATATGGATATAAATAAGAAAAATTATAGCTATATATGACGTTGATAGCGAATATGTTAAGTAGGAATGAAAATTTTTAATAAGTTTGAATAAAGATAAGCTCGAAGTGGGAAATTGGCGCATCATACATTTGTGACACTAACGAACATGTTAAGCTAAAACAGCAGTAACCATTTCTAGCGTTAGGAGACAATAATTTATACAGTGTTTATCTCAAGACTCCCAATTTCAATTTTAATCAAATTTGCAAAGTTGATGCAGGACTAAAATTTCGCGTCGTTGTAAAACTTGCAACACGTTGCACTCTGAGAAACCGTTTTTTTTTATAATCTTACTAGCTTCGAGGAATTAGAGAGATGATGATGACGAAATAATATATTTGTCGTTGTCACCACAAGATTAAAGATAAGAACAGCATAGTTTACAGATAAAACAGCGAGGAACCGTAAGACGTTTAAAGTACAAAGTTTAAAGTAATGTAATCGTTATTACGGAATTACGGAAATCTCTAAACGCGCACCGTATCAGGACGCTCGCGATCTGCTCCAAATTAGCGCGACGTCAGTCAAGCTTTAGCGAGTCCGCTAAACCGACAGCAAACACGCACTTTTCACGGCAGTAAAACTGGGAATTACCGTCAGGCGCGTGTCGCGCGTGCGGGGATGAAAAATCTAGGATATACGCGATACTCCGAACACTCTCACCACTTATCCTCCACCATTAGCCACTATTCTCCACTTCCGGCGGTATCTCGATCGCGCCGGTTGCAATCGGCCGTCAAATAAATAATGACGATGTAACGGCTACGCAATATTATCGTTGCATACGTAAAAACGGGAAATTCTTCGTAACGAGTCAACTAATTTCTTTATATACGTCATTTTTCTTATTTTCGAAATAATTTTACACACACGCTCTACGCGTTACTTTATGTACTTCCACGCGATTTATACAACTAATCAACGATTATTATCAAATTGTTATTGCCATAAAACATTCGTCTGAGCTGTGCGATTTTCATCATCGTGAGTAATCTCCGTTATTATCCGTTATAAAGCGTGAAAAGAATTGATGTTCCAAAGATACGCGATCAATTCTTTTCCCGTTGCGGGGAAGTCGCAAGCCCTCATCGACGGGAAAAGCAGACCTCGCGACTGAGAATCACTGGCTTAAAGCGTCAGATACCGGTGCATTCACCTTATGAAAGTCATTAATCTTGCGGGACGCAGAGAGCCGGCCAATTAACAGGGCGGAATCAGGGAACGGCTAAGGTAGATACTACTGATTCCGATCGATTTCGGGCTTAAGTCGGGGGGGCCGTCGCGCCGCTGGTGCGGCGGGTCGAGCTATCGATCCGTCTGTTCGCGCGTTCCCGCGAGTTACCCGCGTGCCGGGCGACGGCGGCGGTCCATCGATCCCGCAAATCCAGCTACCAGATCGACTTGCGCGTTTGCACGGGCTAAGCCCACGAGCTATGCTCATCTTCCTGTCCACAAATCTCCTAAGACCCGCTGTAACGCCCGCCGCCGGGCCTTTCGCCAGCTGCCCTGCACTTCGACGCACCTGATGCGCCGCAGTACGCACGAAGTCATAATACGTGACGAAAAAGACGATGACGACGAAATCGCGTGAAATACGAATTGCTCGTTTATTCGGGAAAGCCAATTCGAGAAAGTTCCATTTATAAATTCCGATTTGACGCGAATAAATAAAGACAGCGTGCTCCGATTTCACGGGCCAAGTTTCGAAAACTGGTTCTCCATCGTTCTCAAAGTACACGTCACGTGTAATTTCTTATGTTTATGAATGGAACAAGAGATAGAAGCGAAGACGAAGATTTTCTTTTCGTTTCACGCAGGACGCCGTCTCGCATATTCGCTACTCTTTTCATTCGAGATATTAGTCACGAACAATTTGCAACGCGACTTCTTAACGCTCGGATTGGCTCGCATTCGTTCGTTATTTCTTTCAGATGGTAAATATAATCGATCGTGTGTATAATGACTACAAATAAAGTAATGTTAATTTAATCAAAATAATTCGGTCGAAATAACCTCATAAATTTTAATGATTGTGATGAATCGAACTAAATTGTAATCAATATAATTAAATTAAAATTACTCTTATCGAAATTGCTCCGATCAAATTACCTGTTATTATTATTTTTTCATTACGCGATTCGCCGAAAATTACCGATGCAACTAGATGCTATTTAACGAAAATTAATTATGCATTTCGGATCTGATTATCGACGCGAGCAGTTCGTTCTTCGCGTTAATTATGCTTTTATTCGTCCGGCCTCTCTCGGAAATATTTGACCGCAGCATAAGTCAGGAAAATAAGTCACTGTTTTGAATAAATTTTGATCGCGCTGTTTGCATTCTCTCGTTTACGTTTGGACGAGATAGAAAAGTCTCCGAAGGAACTTACGTCCGCTCGACTTTCCATAGATCAACCTTATTTTCACATCCGAAAAATTCGTAGGTAAAATTACGAAAATTTAAGCGTGCGATTAACTGCATTCGCAGATGAAAGATATCATTACTATCGTATTAATATATCATTAACTCTTTCAATGATGAAAAATCTCACATATTCAGAAAATCGCTAGAGGAGCCTAATCTCTTCAATCTTATCACTTCGTTTTAATCAACAAAATATTCATAGAAAAACACCAGTGGTCTCCAACGAATTTCACTTCACTAATGCGGATGACAAATTTCATCACTAAATTTAATCTATTACGCACACATTTCGGTTCAGAAATAATAAAAAGTCAACTCATTCGACATCCAAATTATTCTCAGACCGAAAAAGAAAACAGTAAATAAATAAATTCACAACACTGTCCCGGTAGTTTCCTGCGTTGGGCGCGGGATTCTAAAGCTGAAAGCGAAATCAGCTGTCTAACTTCGTCTCAATGATGTACTTCCTTCTTTCGGGACGATTGAGCTATAACGTTGAACGACCGCTCGAGGAAGAATGTGAGCGCACCGAAAGGGTCAAAGACGATCGACTGTCGCGGCAATGAAAATGACTGGTAGGCCTACCTTGGTCGAATACAAGGCAGCGGGTGGTCTTGGCAGCGAGTCCCGGGGGCAGAGCGAACCTGTAGGCCGGGCCCGGCGACAGCCCCAGCCCCAGACCGAGCGCCTCCGCGCCGCATCGGCCCCCGAACACAGGCCCCACTAGAATCACCCATACAACAGTGGTAATCAGTCATCGTCATTATCAAGATAAGGAGACACAGAATTATCATCAATTAGCAAGAATATCATCATCATCATCATCATGCATAGAAGAAGGAAGTCTCCCCGGCCAGGAAACTTTCAGGCTGACGAACGCCAATAGGCGCATGTGTGAACCGCGAACGAGCGAATGTAGAGATCCTTTGCCAAATGAACAAATTGATGCGGAGCCTGAAAATCCCGAGAAGTCCTTCGCTCTAACGTGTAATCATTTCCAATTATTAATGACGGTCGCCTCAGTGAGGCTTCGCGGCACACGCGCGCACGTAATCGATTGACGTTCGAAGTGAGATATCAAAATGTACAATTTCGTATGCATTTCTGTTCATTATATTCTCTCTCATGTGTGCCTTGTTTAATAATATACATATTAATGATGATCATCATGAACTGCGTGTAAATATGTTTAAGAGAAAGTCGTGCAGTAAGATTAAAGAAGCAGAGAACGACAAATAGATTCCAAAATTTCAAAGATAGTTACGTGATCGAAAGGACGAGAGCAAGAAATACATCTCACACCATTCCCGTCGGTAAGTCCACCCAAAGGTGTCATGCATTAATTTGCGAAGATGGTTAATCGCCCTCTCTCCGAATTGTCTATTATCTGTTTATTTCGATATTTGTAACGTGACCCTCTCGATGAAAATCCGTTTTCAATTATAACGAATATATCGATTAGCAAGATTCACGGTAGGTTTATAAAGCTTCCCGGGGCTCGTGTACGATTCAATTACGCGTCGCACTCGTGTGCGACTAGTAGATCCCTAAATACACGGAGCGAATTAGCGAGCGGGATCAAAAGATGGAGCACCAATATGCCCTCAAAGGCCCTCGTCATTTTGCCTCTCTGTGAACTTAGGTAGGTGGCTTTATTATGATTCCATATTGATGTTACCGAGCTGTTATTACGAGATAAGTTCCCGAAGGAGTTTATTGCTTTTTAGTATACACTCAGCACGTGCCGGACCGTCGGTCGTCGACAACCCCCTTCAACCGTTCTCGCTGCGATCGCCTGTGCTCTTCTCCCCTTGCTTCCCCGTCCATCGAAATTCATATTCGGACAACTCGCGAGCTCGTAACGCGAAATATTGGACGATGAAAATTTCATTCGAATTTCAACGGGAACTATATGCTCCAGCGAAGGTCCCGTTTCTTTCTTTTTTTTTTTATTATTCTTGAGATGAATCCAATGTAAAATCGACTATTTGGCGGAGATTTTCCTCGTGTCGTTTCCTACGTGACGTGATCTAATCGGCAGTGAAAGAAATGAGACGATACCTTAGAGGGGGCGAATAAGTATAGAAGCAATTTAGCGGCTCAGCGTTAATCCCGTTTCATGACACCACGAGCGCGGAACTTTTCTGTCTTTTCGAGGAAGCGAGGTCGAGAGAGATGTGCCAAAAGTGGCTCTTCCAGCTTCTATTCGGATCTTACGAGGGGCGGGAGGGGAACATGCGCGCACAATACCCGGGCCATAATCTAAATTCATGTCTGACGGGAAGCCGGGTAGGATAAGTACATCGAGCATAATAGCGACGACTTAACATACTTTTTAAATTGCGCCTTTGAGATGCAGAACGGCGGCCCGCCGTTGCGGAGGTGGGCGGCCCCTCTCCACCTCTCTCTTTCTCGTCCGTTTTTGGCCTCCTTAGCTTACACGCTGATTAAGACACCCGATACAATTAGGCGGCGAAAAGAACCTCAAAAGACGCGCGTGAGGGGAAGCCACCAATCTTTACGTGCCCACGGATGTAGATGTGTAACGGGTGTCCGGTAAAACGACAGCGTTTTATCGGGACGGTGAAAAATGAGAGATGCGCGTGTAATAAAATAATTAAATGCAACGTTACAAAGAGTGTCATAAAAAATTATATAATTGACTTTGATATCAAATATGTAGTGGATATATTCTTCGCGATTCTAAAAGTAGCGTTACTTTTCTTTAGGATATGTAAAGATGGAAGAAGCCGAGCGGAAGTTTAGAGTACTAACGCGACTTTGCTGCTTCAAGAACTCTCAATATTCTCCTGTACTTCTACCCTATCCTAGGTGGGTCCATTTTACAAAAATTAATAACCGAGAATAAGCTTTTGATGGTACGTGCGCGTGAGCGATGTATAGGAAGCATCGCATTGTTCGAAGGATCGAAAGGGTTAACGTCAAAGCGTTAATTCCGAGCGCGCGTTCAGTCCGACCCGTCAAATAAACGAGCCCCGACGAGCAGCTGCGGGCTTCTACGTCATGAACGATGACGGACCAACGAGCACCTCGAAAAAGGTGACGCGCGTCATTCCACGCCGATCGATCGTCATTCGGTTTCGCGTCCGCGAAATGATCGCGCTCGATGATCCGCGCTGACGGCCGAAAAATTCCCTCCCACGTCGAGCACGATAGAGCCATGATCGAGTATTACCCGTCGCGTTCACGTCGCTTTTGAAAACCATGTAATTTCGACAAGTTCATAACGGAAGTCTTGCAAACGAGTAACTGGAAAATGGTGAAAATTTATGAACTGCAGTTCTCCAGCTGACGTGCGCAATCCGGAACGGCTTACCGGTTTAAAAATCATTTTCCCCAAGCATTTCCCCCAAAAAATACGCGTCGGTAACTTTCAATTAGAGTTGATAGATAGAGAATAAAATTTCGTATTTGCATTGAAAAGTGCACGTCAATAACTTATTTAAAAAAAAAACTCGTTACGTGTTTCAAACGATGAATAAAAATTACATCGAAAGAAAATCGATAGAGCGATCGAGTGACAATTTGATATTTCTATCAGGAAGAATGTAAATGAGAAAAAGCGGGCAGATTTTACGAAACGAACACCCCGTAGACGAAGTCAGGTGTATGGCGCGACGAATCGGCTCGTTTAAGCCGCGCGAGTCAAGTCGACGACGGCCGCGCTTCGGACTTTGTTAACGTTAATCCTCGCGCGGACTACCGTGCATGCTCAGCGTGAACGGCCGAAAGGCTCGTCTCGCCAATTACAAGCGTGAAAATCGTCATCTCGGAGATAATCGGGAATTAGCATCACCCGTCCGCGTACAACGCGCCATTAGCGTCCTCGCTTACGGCTCGGCGGATGTTTTAATCGCTCGTTATGAGATCGCACGATATCGATTTTTAAGCAAGTCGCTGGTTTCTCACAAATGAAATCTGTTACGTATGAACTCGTTGGAGCTTAGCTCAGCATAAGCTCAGCTCAGACGCGGTGCAAGTTTGTGACGTAAGTCTATCTTCAATCAATAGAAACTATTGCCAAAGTGTCGGCCAAAGAGATAAACATCGTTAACGAGGTGGACAAAAGAAAAAAGACTCCGTCTTACAAAAAGCCGCGTGTAACTTGTTCTTTATAATCCTTCGTGTATAATCTTTTTATAGCATAATCGACGATGTAAATAGCCTCAAGATCTTTAAAGTAATCTCGGTTAAACGTAGTTTAACCAGAAGTCATAGGTATCTCAATTCTTTCGCCTCTGATGTTTTTCAATGATTGAGAGTTTCAAATTTCAGATTTTAATAGCAATTTATTGCGTAATGTGTGTATACGTGTGTACGCATGAATGGAAATAATCAAAAAGAATATATTCCAAGAATTAAAAGTCGAAAAAATACGGATTTATCTTCTCAACAGTATTTCTGATGGGACAAACAATAGTGATGACTTTCTCTGGGACATCGATGTTCCTCTCCACAACAGTGAAAAGGTTAACGTCGTAATTAAATTTACTATACGATTTTTTCATACGTATGCGTAATGCTGAAACACTCGTTTGCTACATTCGTCGTCGCGGCGTGGCTGAATATGGTCGCGCGTCGTGATCGGGTCTTACCGGGCTACGCAATTCAAAGTGTCTCTACCTGTCTAGCTGGTGTGTGTGTGTGTGTCGACGTCGATCGAGAAAACGGCGAGGCCGCGCATGAATGAAGGAGAGACGGCTGACGATTGCCGTACATGGAGCACGAGACGATCTCGGGAGCCGTGCGATCGCACCGACGAATCGAGATCGTCGCAGCTGACAGTCGATCCATGCGATCTTAATCTGGCCGCTCGCAAGAAGGGAGAGCCGGCGAGCCGGGAAAAAATCGCAGGGTTCACCGAGCGATCGAGCGGAGAGACCGGCATCCGTCTGTCGGTCGACCGACCGGATCAAGAAACCCTGAATAATTCATCGGCCAGATCCGAGCGCGGGGTCTGACGACAGGCAGTGCGCGTCCCGCGTGTTTGCGCTGCACGTCGAGTACGCGGCTACCCTCTACCTTTGATGCGACACGACGCGACGTTGGAGGCGAATTTACACGCTTCGCTCTCGATAATCGATCCGGATGGAAGAGAAATCATACGAACGCTCTCCTGAAAGCAGAGAGCAAAAACAAGGCGGAAAAGTGAGGGGAACAAATTGTTCCGATGTTACTGCTCGTTTTTCTTCATTTCGCATTTCATTTCACGAAGCTGCAAATATTATTTATCCGTCTATCGAATCAGCGAATCTGTTGGTTCGTTTAACAGGTGATAATTAGCACAAAAGAACTATCTTAGATAAGTTGTCCGAAGAGTGAGCGAGACGTAGATCGTATAGACGGATCAGAGCAATAATCATCTCCGGAAGAAATAAAATAGCTGAGAGAAAGAACAATTGTTTTCTCTATTTTACACATCTCGTTGGAGCTTACTACGAATATCGTAAGCGTAAAACGATCGGAGATTACAATCTGATTTAGGTACAGTCGCGAGACGTGTAGGCATAAAAGGACGCGGCTGTCCCCAGGCGGCAACAAGTAATGTTGCGAAGAAAGAGGAAAACAAGAGGGATGGGAGGAGAACGCGAGAAGACTCGGGACTGAAACGAGAGAGAGTGGATTGGGTTGCAGCGAGTTAACCGGCTCAGTACTCGGCGTGAGATCCTGTTATACAACGATGTCAAACTGACGATACGCCG